TTTCGTATTCGGCAATTGTGGATATAGCGCCGTAGATTGGCCCGGAATGCATTTAGATTCCTACACCATATTAAATGGCTCGATTGATATTGATCGATCCCTATTCGATATTATTATTGCACAGGAGATCGGATGGAGCATGATTAGTGAATGGATTACCCCTGAATGGCGTGTGATGCATGGACTAGATAGATTTGCTTCTGTCCTTGTAATGGACCGTATTACATTGATCTTTAGGGAGGCCATTTCGGTTGCACATCACATACCCGGCAGGATCCTGCAAGTTAGATTGCAATTGTATCGTCCCCACGACATATATACCGTGTATCATTATGCATGGAACTCAGGTGGGATATTAAATATGCCAAGGCCGTTTAGACCGATAAAGCCCTGTTCCGATCCCTTGTTCAGGACCACCACTTGGCAGCTGTTCATACGAGAATTTTTCATCCCACCTTTGTGCATGGTAATCATAATATCCGGATTGATTTTGTGTTCATGAGAAAGGAGCAAATCTCCTGGCGTATTTTGCAACCGAAACATCATCCAGATTTTGATTTTTTGTTTGGCAATCAAGGCCCGAGATATTATGCTCTGAGCTTGCACTTGTCAAAATGGTTTCCAACTCCCAACCCCAAGAACCATGAGGATATCAACCGATTTTGCCTTCGTCAGGCCTGGACCCAGAACACCCAGCAGTGGGCCCAATTCATGGCTCAGGCACGTCAGGTCATTACACAACAGGAGCTTTCGATGTCACCGATAGATCGTAATCTGTTCCTGGAAAGAAGTCTTGTTCAGATATGTAAGAATTGCTTTCCGTCGGTCCGACGGCAGGCTCCGCTAGATCCTGCCTTTCGATCTCTCACTGCCCAGATGTGGCTGGCGCGTAAGGCTGCCCTTGCATTGCATGATCGTAGTGTGAAATCGATCTTTCAAGGTTGGTTCAATTTGACCAGATACCGTACTTTGCACAAACAAATCAAGTAGTATAGCAGGACCAATAAACGGACCCGACTTGAAGCCTTTCTCCGGGAGGGTGCTGATTTGGCCATGCGACACCAGTTTCTTTCGCAGAATCCGCACGCTCTGCCCCAAGCAACGGCTTCAGCGCATTCACATATTTGATAGTCGCGGACAACCTCTTAGCCCTCAACAGGAATTTGATGAACTTGTTCAATACTTTGAGATTCAATTTAACGATCCTGATTTTCACCATCCGGATCTGACACTTCTTCAGGTCCTGCCTTTTGATGAAGAGGCTGTGTATGAGGCCTTGCGTCGCATGCCGGCCATCAAAGCTGTGGCGCCACCGAGTCTCCCAGCCGTAGTGTGGAAAGCATTGGCCCCTGAAATGGCTAGTTCGATATATCAGGCCTTGGCGCATTGGAGTGTCAACCCCCCCCCAGGCTCCGGATGCATGGACGGCTGGATGGCTGCATCTCATTCCCAAACCGGGAAAGCCAAGCACGAAGCCACAGGCTCTTCGACCAATCTGCCTTCAATACCCTGTCTGCAAGGTTGCCTCGAATTTTGTCACCACCCAATTGTTGCAATACACGATCGATAAACTTCGTCGATTCCCGTTATATGCATGTCTTCCTAATAGGAGTATTGCTGATTGTTTGCTTCGTGTTTCGCACCATTGCAGATAGGTCCGTGACAGCTGTCAACTGCACAATAAGGATAATTCAGCTAATGGCATGTACGGAGGCCTCCAGGTTTCCCTCGACATGAACAAAGCCTTCGATTCCGTCAGCCGGAATACAGTGAGTCTCGCCATCAGGTGTTTGCAACTCGCCCAGGACCTCCAGACCATGATCCATACCCTGTTATCACCTCACAAATACTATATCCCCCACAAGAAGTTAGTTGGTGAGATTTTGGCCACACGAGAGATTCGTCAGGGATCAAAAGATGGTCCAATACTCTGGACGCTCTGCATGCATTTGGTGCTGTCAGACTTGGCGGCTCGATACTCGTGCACCTCGATTCATGATCACATCATCATTTATGCTGATGACATGCACTTGAGATGGAGCACGCAAAGGCTTTCGGATGGACTGACAGCCCTGTCAGACCTTGATCACATCCTCCGTGTCTTTGGAATGTATGGTTTCTCCATCAATTTGGACAAGAGTGTTGTCTTGTTCAGGGCTATTGGTAAAGGGGCCAGCAGATTCACCAAAAGGTGGGTCATCCGCGCAAAAGCAGGTCCTTTCCTGACCATGCCAGACTCTTCGACACGCTTGCCCATGGTTTCGAAAACGGCCTATCTAGGCGTGATCATAAGATATCGAGCATGGGAGATCGACACGGTGAATCGACGCATTCAGGCGGTCCACATGTGTTTTTCATTGTTTTTCCATTTTGAAGAAGTGGCTCACAGCCCAATGTGTTCCGCAGGGCATCCGTTTTAGCTTACTGGGGAGGCCCTCTGTGGCGGGGCCGGTTTTTGCTGGGGTTTTTGGACCCCAAACTGGTGTCCAGAAAAATCACTTTTTTCGATCCCTTGAAGGAGCAAAAAGTTTGGAAAACCTGTGAGGGTTGAGAATTGCTGGGGAGAAAGCGTTTGGCCTGTATGATGTTCTTGATCGAAAGCAATCAAGCTTCCGTATCAATGGTCAGCTGCTTTTTTCGGCAGTCTGATTGCAGCCTTGCACGCTTGGTGCATGTTTGTTTGCTACAAAGCTTGTGGTGGACATCCGCCGTGAGTCGACCTAGCGCCCTGAGACCAAACGTTGTGAACCCATTCTTCGTATTTTGTGG